TATTAAGAATGACCCGATCTAGAATAGAGTCAGTCAGAATGAATGAAAATTCAGAAACGAAATTCTGACTCGTATATTCATGAGAGATTATGCAAATTTAAGCCCGGATCTTCCATGCCGATAAGCTAACCTGTATCGCACGTTACTTGTGCCATACAGTTGTCATCTTTCCATTCATCTCACAGCGAAATTAAGAATAAAGAAAAAATACTGTAAATTTTCATTGCAGAGAACAAATTGCAATACATTGCAGTTACTTTTTATTTTATATAACAATATCATAATTTAACTTGTATAACTTGTATTGATATAACTTGTATACAAATGATAATAATTAAATTACCTCTTATTCAACATTGTAGCAGTGCAAACGCAACCAAATTTTATACGCTGACGTTTCCAGATATGTGAAAGAGATTTCTGAGGAAAAAAGTTTTATTTCAAAACTTACCTCTAAAGCCCTGGTCACACTATGCGATTTCCAGCCGCGCAGGCGACTGCAACCGCGACGGCTGTTCCCGTTAACTAGTAATCCCCCCTCGAAAACCGGCGCGACTGTAATCGCAGCTAGAAACAAAAAGTTTGTTCTACTCGCGACGATTGCAAACGCGCATCCAATCAACAAACGCCTTTATGCCACGCCATACAGTGACAACATTGAAAATAGTTCATCATCATGGCGGATAGTCAGAGGATTAATACTTTTACAGAATCGAGATTGATCGAGCTTATTCAGGCTCACGAATACCTGTGGGATTTTAATTCTTCGTTTTATCGAAGATTTTATCTTTTCATGTATTTTCGCCAGCTCTATTAAAATAATCGCCTTTTTTCTTTTATTCATTCCAGAAAAGGAACTGCTTGCTATTTTAATAAGAAAAGTGGCTAAAATTCCGTAAATACTCTGAAGTAGAACGTAAAATATCGGCAAACTCATGAAAGTAGTCAAAAACAAGCTACTGTAATTTTATTGGTTTATTATAGGGCCACGTGTTTCCGAGTTGCAACGTCAACGAACAATGTGTGACCACGAGAAGACGCGTGCGACTTGCGCTTGTTGCAGTTGCAGTCGCCTGCGCGGCTAGAAATCGCATAGTGTGACCAGGGCTTAAGGTTTTCTTACTCTCGAAACAAACTCGCATTACTGGCATTGGTTTCATTCGAACAGTTCAAAATTACATTTTTATACATACTTGAACTATTTTAATCATAAACCCAAATGCTTGTAACGAAAAACCTCTTGTATTTTTGTAGACGCCTGTAAATCCAACAAATTGTAACAAATACAGCTGTAAGAAGGACAGACAACCTATCTGAAATACATACCGTCGTCATAATAAACATGTGTTAATCTAATTCTGTGTGATTACTCCGACAACTAACGAATTTTATCTATTAAGCTCATTCCAACACATTTTTGCTTAAAAGCACTTGTTAAAACACATTTTCATATGGCTTGGCTGCCATTATTGAAAATAAGAAAACAAGACTGCAGAAACCCAATGACTCTCGATAATATCGAAGATTCGGTAGACAATAGCGAGGTTGAGGCCGAAGTTTTTAACACGAAAACGTGTACGTCGGACATTCAGTGCCGCTTTCCTGTAAGCCTAGAAGTTTGACAGTGGTGTTTGGATAGTCAGTGGAATTATGCTCGACATTCCAAACATCATTGTCAAACTTCTAGGCTTACAGGAAAGCGGCACTGAACGTCCGACGTACACGTTTTCGCGTTTAAAACTTCGGCCTCAACCTCGATAATAGCAACGAGAAGTTTACAAGGCATATTCGGAGTCATACCATGCGTAAATATATGGAATACAGTAGATGCCCCTATAACACGGTAGATAATTCCGTGTTATATGAATTCCATGTTGTACGAGTCACTTAGATTTTACAAATACCTGTGCCGTGTTGCGAACGGCTCACGTATTTGTAAAATCTAAGTGACTCGTACAACATGGAATTCATATAACACGGAATTATCTACGTGTTATAGGGGGTTCTACTGTATTAGCCTCTAAAAGCTTATTCACATTATGGCGGAAAATGCATCTAAAAGGTTGCCTACTGTCATTGATACACTATCCTCTACATTTTTCTGATACTTGCGTAGCTCCGATCTTGTCGAACATATAGTCACTGTAGACGATATAGACGAGAGAAGTGTTAAATAGGNCTCTAAAAGCTTATTCACATTATGGCGGAAAATGCATCTAAAAGGTTGCCTACTGTCATTGATACACTATCCTCTACATTTTTCTGATACTTGCGTAGCTCCGATCTTGTCGAACATATAGTCACTGTAGACGATATAGACGAGAGAAGTGTTAAATAGGGTCGTAGCTTAAATAAAAAACAGGTGCTATCGTAAGGCTGATCGTAAAGCTGTAAAATAATTTAGGATTGAACTTTCAGGAGTAAAATTCTTTGATTTCAAAACAGTTAAAATTGAAATTTTTTTAGATTATGCAAAGATGAATATTCTCGTTATTCTTCTCGTTTACAACAATAACACTTTTTGACCTAGAACTAAGTCTCTCACAAAATCTTAGACGTATGCAGTTTCGAATGTCCCCCTAAAAAAATGCAAAATTTGAAACGCTTACTCCGGCGAAATGCACTAAGAGTGGTGGCCGAGGAGACAAAGATTCAGAAAGACATATGTTGGAAGCTGAACGAAATCGAAAATACAGGGTCCTGTTGGAGGTCCTGCATTCTCATTTGAGATAGAACCAATATAATTTTTTAAGCTGATATATTCACTGGTGTGCAAAACTTAAGGACTAAAGTAACGTTTGCATGTTGTGTCACTGCCAAGTAACATAGCTCGATGAGCTTTGTCCCATACATAGAAAGAACTGCTACAGTATCATACAGAAGGTAACTATAGAAATACGTAACGAGACGAACAGAAATGACACTTTTATTCAACGACAATAATTACACTAAAGTCACCGCGATTTCTGATGGTCCCCTGGACATTCATTCATTCATTTAAATTTATTAATGTAACAAGGTTACATGACCTGATGTCGCAAATGCATAATCAGGTATTATAATACAATATATTTGTCAGTTGGTTTTACAGACATAAAAAACAGTACATTATCATTGTAAAATTGCAGTTATATGTTTTGATTTTACAGGACAATTCTTTATAACTAAGTACAGTACACTTATTGATTTACAAACATAGATAGAAATAACATTGATATACAGTAGAACCTCGAAAACTCGGCCTAATGTGGACCGAAGGGTGGCCGAGTTTGTGAAAATGCCGGGTTATCGGGAATGGGGTTAAAAAAAATAAGTACGAGTGTTTCCTCAGAAAATACTGTACTGTACTTGTATGTATTGTTTACTTGAGAATATAACAGAGAATAAACTGCCCAAATACCCTTAAACAAAGGAAAAGTACGTCCTTTATGAAGGCATAGAGCCTTTACTACATGAAAATGAAAATTAATGAATACACTGTGTACAGTAATTTACCTGATAAGACAGACCTCAGAAAAATACTTTATGAGAGCTTTTATACTTTTATAAAGCTATCTATAATGAAAGTTAATTAACTAAGGATTTTTTTGCCCTGCCAGGGTGTGGCCGAGTTATCCGGAGTGCCGGGTTATCGAGAGCCGAGTTTTCGAGGTTCTACTGTACTATGTACTAACAGCAATTGGTTTTTACATGTCGAGTATATATACAAAGTATAATTAGAACACACCGTTACAAAGTATAACAATAATGTTACAACAGCTGATAAAATAACAACAGTTTGCTGTAAATAATTAACAATAAGGCATAAATGCTAATATGTAATATTATATTAACAATTAAAACTTAATATTTATTATGTAATTAATATTATGTATTATTATATTAACAATTTAAACTTAAATATAAAAGCAAACCCGTGACAATGAAAGTGTCTAGAACAGCGATGTTCCAGTTGACAGATTTTCAATCAAAGTCTTTGAAGAATCCTGTATAAGATTGATACGTAAGAAAGCAGAGAAACACATATGAGACAGTCACTGTGAACTTTTAAGAAGTCCATGGATATCTTCAGCACCACTAAAGTCCGTGAGTGAGAAGCGCCGCAAAAGTTCGAGGGTGTCTCAAAACACCACAAAATAAGTGAGTTGTACCACTCTAAAATCTATGGGTATCCTCAACATCACAAAAGTTCGTAGGTGAGAATAGCTGCAAAAGTCTGAGGGTGCCCTTAAACACCACAAAAGAGCATAAGTGAGTTTTACTCAAAGATCCATTTGATGTCCTTCAGCACCATAGAAGACCTTGAATGATTTGACATAAAAGAAAGTGAAACCAAAAATTGCAAAGCTGCACACGAAACTGGAGGTCAAAACGTGACATCAACAAGTATAGGTGATGATGTATGAAACAACATTCCACCAGAAATACATCAGTGAAAAAGAATGATTTTATCTGTAGGAAAACTCAATGGATTGCAGTAACTTGAAAATATTTTTCAATTAATTGGAGAAGCAAATCATGAGATTTTTTGTCTACTGTAAGCACATGGGCTTCACAGGGCCAAAAAAGATTTTTGCTAATCATGTGGGTCCGTATATTGTTTCTTTCATATTCAGTAGTAATACAATCAAATATATAATGAAGACTGCCATCAGTTGTATTGCAAACAGGACAAAGGTTATTGTTGTATGTAGTAAAGCGAGTTAAATATGAGTTAAAACGCCCGTGACCAGTATAAAATTGAACAGTTTGATGATTAACAACAATCCAAGTATTATGTACAGTATAAGTTTAAAAATCTCAGGAAAAAATAGCTTGGTAAGAGACGTGTTAGCATTCCAGTCACGCTGCCATTCCAGAAGCATTTCATTCCATAGTACCTTTTTTAACTCCTTGGTAGAAATTTTATTATAACTAATAGTAATATTCTCATCACCAGCCGCCAACCTGGCAAGTTGGTCGACCCGATCATTCCCCTTGTCAGCACTATGTGAACATACCCAACTGAAGTAGTATTCGTTGTCGGAATCAATTAATGTTGGTAGAATGGTAAAGGCTAGAGGATGAGTAGACTCTTTCCTGAGCATTGTAAGTGATGAAAGAGAATCTGTTACTATCGCAATTTTAGCATTATTGACAACTCCTTCACACCAATCAATAGCCTTCAAAATTGCAAAAAGCTCAGCCTGTAAAACATTACAAAAAGCTCCAAGGCGGAAAACATTATAGTAAATCTCAACATCATTACGGTAGACTACAAAGCTAGCCCCGACATGATTTTCACATTTTGAACCATCTGTGTAGATGATAATAGCACAGTTTGTAGGAGAGATTTCGTTAAATTTGGACTTAGTATAGGGGCTCAAAGTACATTTGAACGGTATGTTTTCTTCCCAAGATTCTGCGTCAAAGACATTAGACAGTGTGGCAAGATGGAAGCCACATTTAATTTTCCATATCCTCTGCACATGAGTGATGTATTTATCAATTGGTGGTTTACGAGCAAGTACTTGCAGACTTGCAGTTGGGGTGGTCCTGTATGCTTTAGTAATTAACAGTAATGCTCGTCGCTGAGCCGAGGTTAATTTCTGCCGCGGGTGTTCTTTCTTTACTGCTGCACCCCAAGTACCACAACCGTATGTAAGTACAGGTATAAAGATACTATCGTATATTGCGCTCATGGCCATGCCACCTAGGCCCCAAGTCGATCTGGCCACTTTGGCAAACTCATGCATAATGAATCCTGTGTGCTCAGTGATGTGCTGAATATGTTTATTCCATAACAGTCGATGATCGAGTATGATTCCAAGATATTTAAGGTCTCTCACTACCGCGATGCGTTTGTTATTCATACGGAGAGTTGGAACACGTGCGTATATATTACGTTGTCCGGGCTTATTAAAAACAACTGCCTTTTTGTAATGTCCCCTGGACATTACAAAAATCATGTCCCCTGGACATTACAGAATCATGCCCCGCCTTTTCGTAATGTTCCCTGGACATTACAAAAAGGCGGGACATGATTCTTAGTAGGGTGTGTGATCACCACGGACGGCAATGCACGCTCTGCAACGTGCTCCCATGCAGGCCACAAGGTTAGTAAGGAGTTCTTATGGTAGGGCGTACCACTTCTCCACCAGTGCGGTTGACAACTGCTGGATGGTCGTTGGTGCATGTGGACGTGCTGCAATACTTCTCGCCAACGCATCCCACACATGCTCGATGGGATTTAAGTCGGGGGAACGGGCAGGCCAGTCCATTCGTAGAATATCATCTTGCTCCAAGAGCTCCTCCACCTGTGCTGTTCGATGCGGCCGAGCATTGTCATCCATAAAAATGAAGTCAAGGCCGAATGCACCCCTGAAAAGACGAACACGGGGAAGAAGTACAGTGTCACAATAACGTTGACCAGTGACAGTACCGCGTTCAAAGATTTGTAGGTCAGTACGCCCATGCAACATTATGCCTCCCCACACCATAATACTGTACCTTGACCACCAAAATGATCATGTTCGACAATGTTCCTGGGTGCATTACGTGTTCCCACCTCTCGCCATATGAGGGTACGTCCAGACAGAGCCGTAACTAGGCAGGTGCAACAGGTGCATTCGCACAGGGCCCACTTGGAAGGGGGGCCCAAACTGCTGTTCACAAGAAATTATATTTTTAAATTTTAAATTTTTCCGCCTTTCTACAGCGCGGTTTGGCGATTACATTTCGCCTTACTTAGACCCTAGATGTCTGCTCACCAGTGTTCCCAACTGTGGCGACTTTTAGAGGGACGTAGTGAGGTAGCGGAGACCTCAGACAAATCAGCCAAAAGTAGCGACTTTTGAGATTTTTTAATTTATTTTTTGAGAAATTTAAATTTATGTTTATAGTTTTCAAATTTACAGATTTTTCTCTACTTTATAGAGCTCTCTGGCAACTACTAATATTATTACGATATACAAAACTGTATTTCTAGATTTTTCTACAGTGTGCAGAGCTAGAAATCTGTAAAGGTAACATTTTGTAACAAAAATAAATCTGCCCGAGGATTTTTTTAAAATTACTAAATTGAAAACGGTAACTCCCGAATAAAATCTTAGTCTCGAGGTTGTAAAAGGCGTGCAGAAATTCTGACATCATTTTTTGCTTTATAGTGGTACGCATATGTGGTGTATACCTGAACGGCGGATTAAGCGGTAAGCGAACTATGCGGGCGCGTAGGGCCCCGAAGGGGCTCCCGCAGTCTTTAAAATGCTACTGAAAAAAGGGATTGCGAAAACGCAGAAGATAGAAATAGTCCAAAAAAACGCTTCGATATATATAGATACATGGAAGTAATAAATGATATAGCTTTATGGCCAACAATATTAACAGATGCTATTATTGATCATATTCTTAAAACAAACCAAAAAGTATAGAAAAGGGATTTCTTAATAAACGAAAAAAAAGAGTTAAGATAATGGAAATAGATAAAACACCAGATGAAGGAAGTAACTTGACACCCGAAAAATTATTTAAAATACAAATTTACAGTGTTCTTGACACTCTATTGTGTCAAATAGATTGGCGTTATGAAAAAATGAAAACTATCTGTGACGATTTTTGCTTTCGCTGTGGCTGGTCTTTACAATGCATGAGTTTGCTGATTTAAAAAAATCGGCTGCAGATCTCGCTATTAAATATAGCAAAGATTTAAAAAAGTACGAATTCACAAGTGAAATTGAAAGTTTTAATTTTGAAGTAACGACTCTTATACAAAATATAGAAACTGCATCTCCGCTTAATATTCTACAGGCTCTTCATGATTTTGGTTTAATTGAGTCTTACCCAAATATCAATGTCGCTCTTCGAATATTTCTAACTCTTCCCGTTTCTATTGCTTCGTGCGAGAGAAGTTTTAGCAAGTTAAAATTAATAAAAAATTATTTAAGATCAACTATCGGGCAAGAACGATTGTCCAATATTTCTATTATTTCAATAGAATACATTATCATTAAAAATATTAATTATGATCATGTAATTAATGAATTTGCTGAAACGAAAGCCAGAAAAGTTCAATTAAAATAAATCTTATTAAAAATCTATTGTAATATATTTGTTTTATTATTTTCCCAAACCAAATAAATTAAGGGGCCTAAATGCAAATTCTTGCACAGAGCACAGGAATGGCTAGTTACGGCTCTGCGTCCAGAATCACTACTCAGACTGAACCTGCTCTCATCGGAGAAGAGCACACGACCCCACTCCTCGTTGGTCCAGTTCCTATGCTCTTGGCATCGTCGCAAACGGTGCCGCCGATGTGCTGGTGTCAATGGAACGCAACGTACTGCTCGTCGGGCAAAGAGACCACCTCTATGCAGTCGCCGTGCAACTATGGAGTGTGAGATTGCGTGTCTTGCAGTCCTGTTAAATGTGGTTGCAATTGCACGCTCTCCATGCACGTGAAACAATGCTGTGAACAATACCAAACTCCTGGCTACACTCATCACACTTCGTCCTTCTTCCAGTGTCACAATGATTCTTCCCCTTGTGAAGTCATCCAAATGTTGTCTCTGGGCCATGTTGTAATGAGAAACACTGCCACAGTGCACTGTAACTGCTCACTGATTGACACACACTGTCTTTTACCATTTCTTCAACTGCATCGTGTTGTGTGGCCAGCTGCATTTGGCGCTATAGTAGCGCTGACCCGACGTCATGTGACGTCAAGCTTTCTGTGCACAACCGAGAGACCTCTGGCAAGATGCTCCCGCACTTTCATTCATTTCCACCGAGTTGTTCATAAGTTCTGTTACATTATCTATCTCGTCCTTAAGTTTGCACACTAGTGTATATACTGTATACACTAGCAGGTAAGCCCGGCGTTGTCCGGACAAAAAATAAGTACAAATATTAAGATTATTAGATTATTTTGCACTTCTAACCCTTCCATTGACATTATATTATAGTAATTGATTTATAACTACAATGCTTATTGTAGACCTATAAATATATATATGCTATCACATGTTTACAAAAATCAGACAGCCCCGTCCCGCTTTGCACGTGCATTCTCCCTCTATTGAGATGTATTAAAATGACAATATCTGAGATTGAACACTAAAGCAACAATGTGAACTTCAGTGTTGTAGTTAGAGTTTAATCTAAAAAATACGATGTGTCCAGCATCCAAAACGGCTTCATCTTCTACAACATAATATTTTCTGTCGCTGATATAGTTTAGAATTTGACATAAATTCAGGGATTTTTTTTTTCTCCATTTGTTCCTCGCAGTAGTCGTCATCGACGGAAACTGAATCGGTTCAGGCACTGAACAAATACATGGTCGGTTCCTTACCTGTTTCGGCAGCCATCTTGGTTCAAAACAGCGCCCTCTGTCGGATTTGGCGCTTGCCAATTGATCTATTGAAAACAATGACGCGTTTCCAGTCTTATTCAACTGTGATATTTTACGCTATTGAATAACCAAACAGTAACAGAGTTAAAATATAAAAATCCAGCAACGAGTTGCTTAACTTTTCCGGCAACATTTGTGGTGCCATTTGTTATATTAAAAACTTTTTATATTTTTAATTACAAAATGGCAAAAACCTTAATTTTGAGGTTAGGGATATGTTTAATAAAAAAAATTGTAAATGCTAATAACGAGTAAAATTGTCACTGGAGATACAACACACGACCCCTTTTATCTCCGCATTCCATCACATTTAACGCCAAAATTTAATAGCATCAATTCCCCTTATACACCTTGCAAAAACTCAGAAATTTTCGACAAAAAGCTTCAGACAGGGTGAACAAAATAGTGCCGCTCACACAAACATATACATACAGAAAAAAATCCCAAATTTTTTTTCTTTTCTTTGCATTTCTCAACATTTCAAGGTGTTCCGAGTCCAAAAATGTAAAAATCTTGAGGATCATTTTTTGACTGACCACCATACTTTCCCTCATATAGAACAGAGCTGGGAAAGTAAAATCAATCATTTTCCTTTATTTGTGATTTATTCTTTTACTATACAATTTATTATTATTAGCTACTGACAATTTTCACAATCTTTATTGTAGAACCATTTAATTATTGAGGTCAAAAAGTGCAATGGAAGCGGTGGATGCGCCGCTTCCCTTGTATTTTCTAAAAAAAAATAAATACAGTACATATTGATTTTAATTATATGAAAATAATCGCACAATATTTTATTATAACCGCATTATGTACCTTATTACAAATTTCTATACTACACATGAAATAAAAGATAAGATTGCTAATGTATATTCGAATATTAGTGGCGGAGTGGAAACTGTATTGTCAGCATCAAAAAAGCCAGATTCGCGCATGCGCTTTACAGAGCACCAATCTCACCCAGTTTAGCTGGTGGAAGCCTAGGACTTCGGGTGGATGCTACACGTATAACACATCCAATTCTATCCAAGACCGGTTCTGGGCCAAATATCTAGCCGCCTGTCCGCTAGATATTTGGCTGCCTTCGCCCGATTACGTGAATCACAAGTAGATTTATAACTAAACCCAACCGATAAGAATTTACTGGTATGTTTTTATGATAGTTCTTGTATAGTTGACAGGAGTTTTAAAAAAATCCGTTAAAATATTTGATATATTTATTCCGCTCTCCGATTTTATATTACTCACGGATTTCAATGTTAAACTAGTGATATTACGATTTCGTATGTCCTATCTATAAGGGGATGTAGAAAAAAACGTGTACAATTCTTGTATAATGTTAAAAAATTAACTGTTGCTTTGGTAGCATCATTTACAACTAAATTTAATGAATGAAAGAGATGCACGAGGTACAGAAAAAGCTCTAGAATTTATTTTCCTTACATTTACGATTTATGTATCCGTTTGTCATAAAAATTTGTCTTTCCACTTTTTTCCCGAGACTACAAATATTCGAGTACAAAGTAACTGGTTTCGACTTATTTCTACGTAAGTAGT